CTCTCTCTCTCTCTCTCTCTCTCTCTCTCTCTCTCCTCCTCCCCCTCCCTCCTCCTCTCCCCCTCCCTCTCTCTCTCTCCTCTTACTTCTTCTCTCGCTCTCTCGTTCTCTCACCGTCGCTATCTCTCCTCTTTTCCTCTTCGACGTACGATAACGTATTTATTATTATAAATATCAGAGGTAATTAAAAGAATCCAAAAACGATCGCACGTGAAGTGCGATTAAATTAAATATAACATTAAAATATATTTCCATACTCGTCGCGCGGAGCGAAATAAACACATTTCTCTCTTTCTCTCTCCTTGCGTCCTCCCGCATCCTCTGCCATCCCTCATGCCGAGTCGCTTCTCACCACGAGCGAAACGGACTTATTCAACCCCCTCGCGCATCCCCCCGCTCCGCCGTCCATTCTATCTCTCGGCCGTCGGCGAACGCGTCTCATCCACCCTATCTCTCCTCCATACTGGTATGCAAGAGGAGGAAGATCGCGGAGCAACGGAGCACAGGCAGGACGGGGAGACTCGTGCGCGCGCGCGCGCAGGCGCGCGTGCGATCATGTCCTTCCGCGAACTTTCTCCTCCTCGCGTGCTCGCTCGCGTCCTTACGCCGATATTCCGCGCCTCTCTCATTCAATTCCCGTCTCTTTTCTTTCTCTCTTTCTCTATCCCCCTTTGCATCTACCCCATAGATCTACATCTATTTTGTATTCCTCCCGTCCTCTCCCGTCCCCTTTTCTGTCGCGCCATATATTTTCGTATCTGTCGTTCGGTATATTGCTTCTACTCCCCGATATAACCGAAACGCACGACGAGTGCACGAACCTTTCTTACGGAAGGGGCGGGAGAAGGGGGAGGGGGGCGATCTATCAATGAAACAAAAGGAAAACGCGCGAAGGCGACGGGAACGTTGACAAAAGGGCGACGACGCGGAGAGAAACGGCCGGAATTTGTCCTCTCGCACTCCCCCACCCCCTCCTTCTCCTCTCCTCTCTCGTCCTCGATGGCGCGAAACCATTACCCCGGGAATGTTGCGCCGTGGATTAGTTTGATTATCGACATGCGGCGGCGCCGAGGCCGCGAGCAATTTAATTATGGAAGCGGTATGCTGCAAAGGACGAGCCCGCGATATCCAATTAGTTTCCACGAACTGCTACGAGTTCGTGCTCGCTCTTAACGATTGCTAACTCCGAGAGGAACGCTAACTGTTCGTAACTATCGCGCGAGGGATGCTACTGACGATCGCGTTCCGTTTGTTTACAGAATAACACGGGAATTACATTTTTATAAAAGACTGGCAGATTTCTAGCTGTTGTTTCGACCAATTAGATACAATTAGATAATAAAACGTTTGTCATATGTAATATTTGAGATCAAAGGATATCCTTAGACAAATCAAATTCTAATATCCGAGTAAACCGGGACGCGGTAATCTCTTATTGTCAATTTCAATTTAGTCTTTAATTGCACAAATATTTGCGTTAGGGTGTAATTACCGAGGTACACTCGACCGTCGGAAATAAGCTTGAGATCGAGATAAAGCGACAACATTTGCAATTTCGAGTACAAAAGGGCGAAAATCTCTTAATCCGTCGATATACACAATATATTTTTGCTCGCGAAAATCGAAATCGCGTTAATTCGCAATCCCGCCGCGAGCAAAGTCAATATTCTCCGTCGTATTTCCTTTGACGTCACGAAGTAACGCGAGTAACGTCGAGAGTCGTCGAGTCATCCTTGGAGATGCGAAAATATTGTTTCGTCTTCGGGAGGTTGGACCACATCGGGACGTACAGGAGAATAATCGTCGGCCTTATAAAAGGCGCCGAGATTGATGGCGAAAGCTTTTTTAAGCGAAACGCGGGGGCGAGGAGCGTTAATCAATAGCACCGGCAGGCACACGGCCGCCAGGCATATTCGAAATAAATTCTAATACTGCCGCCGGAAAAGGGAGACGATTACCGGATCATTGTTCCGTTCGGCTATTCTTTTCGCAAAGCGGCGCCGCGCGGCTTTCTCTTTTTTTCACCATCCGATAACGGCCCGATCGCATTAGTCGCAATTAGCACAGAATTTATTCTATGAAAAATTGCTAACGCTTCATTTGATTAATCATCCTTGCCTCGATTGTATCACTTGATTGAATTGTTGTGTAGGAATATCTGAAGAAGAGGTAACTATTTATTATATATTTTCGCCTATCGCGTATCATCGAAAAGTCGAAAAAAATTCGATGATTCGAGATATAATTATTGCAGAGATAACATTGTCCTGTAATTTTAAATAACAATCGTTACATTTGGAATCGTACTAAAAGAATAATATTATTTCAACTTATTTTACACCGCGAATCATGTTCCCGGTTATACTGTGTATGTTAGATATATAATAAAAATGTTATTATAAAAGATAACATATATTCAAGTTTAAAACAATGTATTTTTGACACTATTAAATTGGAATGTAATTTATATCGTAATTATTCTTTAACATTAAATCTTTTATTAAATAAACGAACCCGCAACGAAATTCCGTTATTATAAAGTCAATTCAAAGATAATCAAAAGATAAATTTGTATTTTATAAATTATATTTCGTGATGTTAAATCATAAATACACTCTTTTAATCTTGATATCAAATAGAGTAATTATAGTTTCCAGCTAAAGTAAGTTTTCAAAATTAAATTGAACTTCATAATTTTATACGTTACATGATTCGAGGAATATATTCCAAAAGCAGAATATTCGCATATATAAAATATATATATATATATATATATATATATATATATATATATATATATAT